TCATACGATTCTATTGGTCTACATCTGAACCGTGACCGTTTTTATCATACGATTCTATTGGTCTACATCTGAACCGTGACCGTTTTTAACATACGATTCTATTGGTCTACATCTGAACCGTGACCGTTTTTATCATACGATTCTATTGGTCTACATCTGAACCGTGACCGTTTTTATCATACGATTCTATTGGTCTACATCTGAACCGTGACCGTTTTTATCATACGATTCTATTGGTCTACATCTGAACCGTGACCGTTTTTATCATACGATTATATTGGTCTACATCTGAACCGTGACCGTTTTTATCATACGATTCTATTGGTCTACATCTGAACCGTGACCGTTTTTATCATACGATTCTATTGGTCTACATCTGAACCGTGACCGTTTTTATCATACGATTCTATTGGTCTACATCTGAACCGTGACCGTTTTTATCATACGATTCTATTGGTCTACATCTGAACCGTGACCGTTTTTAACATACGATTCTATTGGTGTAAATCTGAACCGTGACCGTTTTTAACATACGATTCTATTGGTCTACATCTGAACCGTGACCGTTTTTATCATACGATTCTATTGGTCTACATCTGAACCGTGACCGTTTTTATCATACGATTCTATTGGTCTACATCTGAACCGTGACCGTTTTTATCATACAATTCTATTGTTCTACATCTGAACGGTGACCGTTTTTATCATACAATTCTATTGGTCTACATCTGAACCGTGACCGTTTTTATCATACGATTCTATTGGTCTACATCTGAACCGTGACCGTTTTTATCATACGATTCTATTGGTCTACATCTGAACCGTACATCTGAACCGTGACCGTTTTTATCATACGATTCTATTGGTCTACATCTGAACCGTGACCGTTTTTATCATACGATTCTATTGGTCTACATCTGAACCGTGACCGTTTTTATCATACGATTCTATTGGTCTACATCTGAACCGTGACCGTTTTTATCATACGATTCTATTGTTCTACATCTGAACCGTGACCGTTTTTATCATACGATTCTATTGGTGTAAATCTGAACGGTGACCGTTTTTATCATACGATTCTATTGGTGTAAATCTGAACGGTGACCGTTTTTATCATACTATTCTATTGGTCTACATCTGAACCTTAACCGTTTTTATCATACGATTCTATTGGTCTACATCTGAACGGTGACCGTTTTTATCATACGATTCTATTGGTCTACATCTGAACCGTGACCGTTTTTATCATACGATTCTATTGGTCTACATCTGAACCGTGACCGTTTTTATCATACGATTCTATTGGTCTATATAAGATAAGATGTGTAACAGGAAAATGATAATGTTCTTCTATCTGGGTTCGAACCGCCGACCTCCAGGTCTCTAGTCGGACTTTCTACCACCGTGCTAAAGATAAATTGACTCTAGAGCGAAGCTTTAGGTCGACAAAGGTCCTATATAGAATTAAAAGCTGTTATAGTCAAATGGATGGAGTAACAAGCAAGCCTCATATTTTCATCGGTGGCTAGAGTAGATCTTGATAATATGGATATCGATATTACAGATTAAACAAGTAAAGGGAGGTAACTCGAACTTGATAACACAATTTACAGATACCACTATAATATATGAACACACACACAAACAGGTTAATCCTACATACAGTCAAATGTTATTTATCAAATGACGCATATGGAATGTGTTGATTAATTAATTAGTGTAAAATACGAAACAGACTTAAGTTCGTGATGTGCAAATTATGAGCAGAACATAACTTTGTAAAACAACTCATAGGTATACTTGGTATTGCATAACCTGTTGTGTGCAGCAAAAGGAAAACGTGGCTTAAATACAGGAAGATGTAAGAAAGTGGAAATAAATGGTTAAACCATGTTCAACTGGATCCACACATAATCAAGTATATACAAAACTGCTAAATTTAATCTCTATTATAAAGGTTACAGCCTATATCTTTTATAAGTCTGTTTTTGATATTAGTCTCTATAGTGACTTTCTGGAATACGTACATGTATGAATTAAAATACTTGGATTTTCCAACTGAAGGATGAATATCCTGATGTTTGTTTATCATTTTATCACAGAAAAGTGTAAATAATAAAGTTATGGTTACTGGCATAATTACTAAGAGAACGAGAAAGATCAACACTCGCATCATTATAAAGGGGACATCTAGCAAAAATGGCGTATTGTTTCAAACTCAGAAGAGCGACCACATCCTGGACAATCAGTAGATGCAAATTACTGAAAAAGTTTCTTTATTGATAACGAATGTTAGCCCTTCTTTCACTCTCAGTTTTGAAAAGTTTATTTTTATCTGATGATGATGGCTATTATAATCACCCAACGTCCATGGTCCGTCCGTCTGTCCGTAAACAATTTTTGTTATTGCTATTTCTTGAGAAGTACTGGATGGATGTTTCTCAAATTTCATATGTAGGTTCTCCTGGTCCCTAATACGGTTTATTTGTATCAGACCACGTGATTCCAAATCTGGCAAAACATTCCTAAACCCTCGATCAACAACGACGTTGGCATCTTTTTCATAGCCAGTAGAGACTATTCATGATGGCTTTTGTAATCTTTGCATCATTATCGCTTCCAGAAAAAGGTCCTATTGTGTCCAGAATGTAACCACTAGGCAGGGATTTGCTCATGAACTTCTAATAGTTCCGCTCCTTCTGGCGACAGTAGGAGATTCTCTGGAGTTTGTGATCAGAATTCTTAGGAATAACGATAAATGTACCGTAAAGTATGACAGTCGCCCGCTGGCTAAGAAATGCTTCTGAGAACACACTGGAGGCTCCATATTATTTTTCCTGGTAAGATGTGCACGTCCAAAGTTGAAAGGAACAATGGTTATTTCTGATGTTTTTACTATGGAATGTTTTTGATATACTGAACTTTGACATGCTAAATACACTGTTACCATGACATCCGTCTTCATTTTTACCCACAACAAGAGTAGTGCACCCACGTGGTTTGAGTGTAAATACCAGTGCCAATAGAGGATGAACAATAAGAAAGACTTTTTAGAAACTGTGTTCTTGTCCAACCAGTCCAAGTTTTACAATCTGTATCATCAGAGAGGAGAAACGCAGAGTAAAAGAAGACTCCTGCTTTGATAGCCTATGTGATATCTCCAAAAGATCATTTTCTTTGATCTGGAAGGTAGCTGCGAAGTCAACATTTCTCTTTCACCACTGCAGATTTTAACGTTAGGGTGTTACGCTCTTGGGCAATATGGTCGAGTTTAGATTGAAACTGCTCATACATAGTGTGCATTTGCGTCGGAAGGCTATCCATAATATAGATCCTTTATGGAAAATGGTTGGATATTTCACCATATTTGATCATCAACACCAAAATGTTGACCTTCAGGTTGTGACTTTCTTTTCTGATAATTCTTAAAACACTTAGCACACTTACCAATCTCTTGATTTTCAGTAAAATTATTGCCATCTGCTTTCAAAATAATCAAAAAACCAATTGTGCTGAGAAAGTCTGATATTTTTAGCAGTTTTCTTGGATTTAATGTCTCATAAAGACGACTTTACAACCCTTACCTACATATCTACGTCCCATTGTGAGAACTGTACCGTATTAGGTATTTAAAATCACCGTCTTAGTAGACAATGTAGAACGTAATGTCGAAAGAATAATGGATGATATTGGGATGTATAATATATTGTTGGAAGATTGTATGGTAACTATTGGTCATGTAAAATATTGTATTTAACGTCCTAATTATAATAGACAGATATAGTCAAGGACATGTCGGCATGATTTGTATGTGTGCTAGGGCTTGTTATATATTAGGAAAGGCACATGTATACATGAAGATTTGGAGTGTAACAGGGTAGTCTCCTATGCCCACTATCATTCAACAAGTAATTGGAATGATACACATCAAAGCCAAAAATGGGGGTATCTATCTTTAGTCAGGGTTAGGGTAAGAGAGAAAGCTAACTATAAGCTAAATTAGTTTAAATGGACGGAAGAGCAACCAAGTGTCTTCCGGGAATGAAGGAATGAATAAAGGAAAGAAACTAAAGCTTCCAACACTGGCATTCAGGAGGATAAGGGGAGATATGATAGAGCTGTATGAAATAACAAGTCAAATTTATGATAATGAATGTTTTAATGCTATTACATTACGGAGAGATGCCTCGGATCGCCATAGTCACAGAGGTCATTCAAAGAAAATATTTCCTAAACGATCCAACTTTGCTAAGAAAAAAATTTTCAAACAGAACAGTAAAAAATTGGAATGAACTACCAGAAAACGTTGTATCTGCCAAGGGCGGGGCAAGCCTAGCAGAAATGTGTAAGCCCAAGCGAGGGGTCTGAATTTCATGATTTCAAAGATGTTTTGAATCGTTTTCTGAGACACTTTTTTATTTCTTTAACAACAAACTTCAACCCCTGATATTTATTTTCAACCTTAGTTTTGTAATTTTGTCCGACATACTCTATGCACGGATTTTTTTATGTGTAAGCCCGGGCTTTATCTTTCTATGGAAACAACGCCCCTGTCTGCTGGGAATGTTAATTTATTGAACAACAGACTAGATGATCACTGGGAAAACCAAGAACTTTTCTTTAATTATAAAGCAACAATCCAGAATTAGATACCGGTACCGGATACATGTATGTATTATGTATTCATACTGTATTGTAATGAGTCTGGTAAAGAGGACTATGACAAGTACTGAACCAGAAATAAACTTATCTTATTAATAAGGAAGACATTCAATATTCATCACAGGATACCCTAAAAGGCAATAATGTCGGAGGTATACTTACTGTTCCAGTATTTTGGTATGTAGTTCATGGTTTGTACTTTCCTATTTTGTTAAAATAATCATTTTTATCTTTTTGTGACAATCGGCGTTCATAGTTTAGTAATATAGTTATGTAATTAGTTAACTAGGCAAGTCAAAATTGATTAATTTGGATTAAATGTAATTTAATTTTAACAGAAGTGGTCCGCGTTCAGAAGTGGTCCGCGTTCAGAAGAGGTCCGAGAACAGAAAAGGTCCGAGAACAGAAGTGGTCCGCGTTCAGAAGAGGTCCGCGTACAGAAGTGGTCCGAGAAAAGAAGAGGTCCGAGAACAGAAGAGGTCCGAGAACAGAAAAGGTCTGTGAACAGAAGAGGTCCGCGAACAGAAGAGCGGTCCGAAAACAGAAGAGGTCCGAGAACAGAAGAGGTCCGAGAACAGAAGTGGTCCGAGAACAGAAGAGGTCCGCGAACAGAAGAGCGGTCCGAAAACAGAAGAGGTCCGAGAACAGAAGAGGTCCGCGAACAGAAGAGCGGTCCGAAAACAGAAGAGGTCCGAGAACAGAAGAGGTCCGCGAACAGAAGAGCGGTCCGAAAACAGAAGAGCGGTCCGAAAACAGAAGAGGTCCGAGAACAGAAGAGGTCCGAGAACAGAAGTGGTCCGAGAACAGAAGAGCGGTCCGAGAACAAAGGCGGTACGAGAACAGAAGAGGTCCGAGAACAGAAGAGGTCCGAGAGCGGAAGAGGTCCGAGAACAGAAGAGGTCCGAGAACGGAAGAGCGGTCCGCGAACAGAAGAGCGGTCCGAAAACAGAAGAGGTCCGAGAACAGAAGAGGTCCGAGAGCGGAAGAGGACCGAGAACAGAAGAGGTCCGCGAACAGAAGAGCGGTCCGAAAACAGAAGAGCGGTCCGAAAACAGAAGAGGTCCGAGAACAGAAGAGCGGTCCGAAAACAGAAGAGGTCCGAGAACAGAAGTGGTCCGAGAACAGAAGCGCGGTCCGAGAACAAAGGCGGTACGAGAACAGAAGAGGTCCGAGAACAGAAGAGGTCCGAGAGCGGAAGAGGTCCGAGAACAGAAGAGGTCCGAGAACAGAAGAGCGGTCCGCGAACAGAAGAGCGGTCCGCGAACAGAAGAGCGGTCCGAAAACAGAAGAGGTCCGAGAACAGAAGAGGTCCGAGAGCGGAAGAGGTCCGAGAACAGAAGAGGTCCGCGAACAGAAGAGCGGTCCGAAAACAGAAGAGCGGTCCGAAAACAGAAGAGGTCCGAAAACAGAAGAGGTCCGAGAACAGAAGAGGTCCGAGAACAGAAGTGGTCCGAGAACAGAAGAGCGGTCCGAGAACAAAGGCGGTACGAGAACAGAAGAGGTCGGAGAACAGAAGAGGTCCGAGAGCGGAAGAGGTCCGAGAACAGAAGAGGTCCGAGAACAAAAGAGGTCTGCGAACAGAAGAGCGGTCCGAGAACAAAGGCGGTACGAGAACAGAAGAGGTCCGAGAACAGAAGAGGTCCGAGAACAGAAGAGGTCCAAGAACAGAGGCGGTACGAGAACAGAAGAGGTCCGAGAACAGAAGAGGTCCGAGAACAGAAGAGGTCCGAGAACAGAAGAGGTCCGAGAACAGAAGAGGTCCGAGAACAGAAGAGCGGTCCGAGAACAAAGGCGGTACAAGAACAGAAGAGGTCGGAGAACAGAAGAGGTCCGAGAACAGAAGAGCGGTCCGAGAACAAAGGTGGTACGAGAACAGAAGAGGTCCGAGAACAGAAGAGGTCCGAGAGCGGAAGAGGTCCGAGAACAGAAGAGGTCCGAAAACAGAAGAGGTCCGAAAACAGAGGCGGTACGAGAGCAGAAAAGGTTTGAGAATAGAAAAGGTCTGAGAGCAGATGAGTCCGAGAACAGATGAGGTCCGAAAACAGAAGAGGTCCGAGAACAGAAGAGGTCCGAGAACAGAAGTGGTCGGAGAACGGAGGTGGCACGAGAACAGAGGCGGAACGAGAGCAGAAAAGGTTCGAGAACAGAAAAGGTCTGAGAACAGATGAGGTCCGAGAACAGATGAGGTCCGAGAACAGAGGCGGTACGAGAACAGAAGCGGTCCAAGAACGGAGGTGGCACGAGAACAGAGGCGGAACGAGAACAGGAAAGGTCCGAGAATAGAGGCGGTACGAGAACAGAAGAGGTCCGAAAACAGATGAGGTCCGAGAACACAGGCGGTAGGAGAACAGAAGAGGTCCAAGAACAGAAGCGGTCCAAGAACAGAGGCGGCACGAGAACAAAGGCGGAACGAGAACAGGAAAGGTCCGAGAACAGAGGCGGTACGAGAACAGAAGAGGTCCGAAAACGGAAGTGGTCCGCGTTCAGAAGTGGTCCGAGAACAGAAGAGGTCCGAGAACAGAAGAGGTCCGCGAACAGAAGAGCGGCCCGAGAGAAGAAGAGGTCCGAGAACAGAAGAGGTCCGAGAGGTCCGAGAACAGAAGAGGTCCGAGAACAGAAGAGCGTCCGAAAACAGAAGAGGTCCGAGAACAGAAGAGGTCCGCGAACAGAAGAGCGGTCCGAAAACAGAAGAGCGGTCCGAAAACAGAAGAGGTCCGAAAACAGAAAAGGTCCGAGAACAGAAGAGCGGTCCGAGAACAGAAGAGGTCCGAAAACAGAAGAGGTCCGAGAACAGAAGAGGTCCGAGAGCGGAAGAGGTCCGAGAACAGAAGAGCGGTCCGAAAACAGAAGAGGTCCGAGAACAGAAGAGGTCCGCGAACAGAAGAGCGGTCCGAAAACAGAAGAGCGGTCCGAAAACAGAAGAGGTCCGAAAACAGAAGAGGTCCGAGAACAGAAGAGGTCCGAGAACAGAAGTGGTCCGAGAACAGAAGAGGTCCGAGAACAGAAGAGGTCCGAGAGCGGAAGAGGTCCGAGAACAGAAGAGGTCCGAGAACAGAAGAGCGGTCCCCAACAGAAGAGCGGTCCGAAAACAGAAGAGGTCCGAGAACAGAAGAGGTCCGCGAACAGAAGAGCGGTCCGAAAACAGAAGAGCGGTCCGAAAACAGAAGAGCGGTCCGAAAACAGAAGAGGTCCGAAAACAGAAGAGATCCGAGAACAGAAAAGATCTGAGAGCAGATGAGGTCCGAGAACAGAGGCGGTACGAGAGCGGAGGCGGTACGAGAACAGAAGAGGTCCGAGAACAGAAGAGCGGTCCGAGAGCGGAAGAGGTCCGAGAACAGAAGAGGTCCGAAAACAGAAAAGGTCCGAGAACAGAAGAGCGGTCCGAGAGCGGAAGAGGTCCGAGAACAGAAGAGGTCCGAAAACAGAAAAGGTCTGAAAACAGAAGAGGTCCGAGAACAGAAGAGGTCCGCGAACAGAAGAGGTCCGAGAGAAGAAGTGGTCCGAGAACAGAAGAGGTCCGAGAGCAGAAGAGGTCCGAGAACAGAAGAGGTCCGAGAGCGGAAGAGGTCCGAGAACAGAAGAGGTCCGAAAACAGAAGAGCGGTCCGAGAACAGATGAGGTCCGAGAACAGAAGAGCGGCCCGAGAACAGAGGCGGAACGAGAACAGGAAAGGTCCGAGAACAGAGGCGGTACGAGAACCGATGAGGTCCGAGAACAGAGGCGGTACGAGAACAGAAGAGGTCCGAGAACAGAGGCGGTACGAGAACAGAAGAGGTCCGAGAATAGGAAAGGTCCGAGAACCTAAGAGGTCCGAGAACAGATCCTTGAGATACTCCTGTCTTGATAACCCTAAATTGATAGTGATAATCCTTGGTACTAACGCTTTTTCTTTTGCATACTAATAAAGCAAATTTCATCACTACCATTTACCATGATTTTGGTGTCATCAACAATCGATTGCCTTACTAATATCACAGAAGACGAACCCTACCATCCCTGATCTATAATGCTGACAACTTTGTTATAAATAAACAATAACTGATCAACCATAGAATCGCCTGCAGTACAGTCAGACTGTTGATAAGATATTACAGTAGTTTCAATCTGGTTATCATAAAGATATTTGAATAAAGCTGTTTCAATTATTTTTATAAAACAAGGCCTTATTGAGAAAGTTCTCCACTTTGAAACATCACTAGATAAACTTCCTTGTAAATAGCATTAATGTTGGTTAGTTCCTCACTGTACAGTGTAACCACAGAATATTCATCATATAAAGAGTGTGAGGGGTAATTCAAGAGAAGATCTCTTTTAACAAGGAGTGACACCACCAGGATCTGGGAGTTCATTGATAATACTGAGCTGGTCAGAAACATCTTGTTTAATAACACGGATGTTTGTCAATGAAATGGGAACAGAGTATCATACACTGTGTGGTAGTTTAATGTCAGGTGTGGAGATTTTAGTGAATGTTTATCATTTGTCAATAGGATGGTGAATGATTTGTTTCTAGCGAGGTATTGATGAGGTCCTGTAAGGAAAGTTTGAAATCGACTTTGCTATATTCCATCATTTGTCAGGAGGGACTGTATTATCATTCAGAAAAATTGAAGTCTGCTTTACGGAGCAGTTCAATTAGTTTCATTACTAAAAACACGAAATCTGCACCAATGAAGTATATTATTATCTAACTTTCTATGCTTCAGTTTCTCTGTCTCATTTTGAATCTGATGATGTTTTACATCCAAGCTTTATCAATAGGACATAGTGTTATTATTCTAATCGGAAGATTTTTTTTAAAATTATCCACTAAACAGTCAACTAGAGAAGGATTTAATATGTCTGTTTTAACGTTTAACCAATCAACATGATGAAGAGTTTTTTTTTTTAATTATATTCATACTTTCAAAATAAGTTTCATTATATTTAATATTTTGTATTGTTCACGTGTTTGAATATTAAATAAAATAAATCTCGAACTAACAAATGATCAATACTCCAAACTCAAATCTAATCAAACAAGACAGGGAAGACAAGTACAAGGAGAACAACACCAGGTGTTCCGGAAGAGTAAGCGTCTTCTGCCTCTTCGAAGACACTCGCCATGTAAATATTGATCAAGGTTAACAACAACGAAACAAACACGTGAAAATAACGCCCAGGATTGTAGGCATTTGAACCATAATTATATTCCTAGTAGAGATGAAATCATGACCGTGGAAAATCAGTATGTAACATTACAGGTGCCTTTGTAGTATAAATAAGAGACAAATAGTCACCAAGTCAATATTCTTAACATTCATTAAAATCGTGCAATATTGAAATTTATGACATTTATTTAGTTTTGAAGTTAGTGCATATTTCTGTTTTTACTTTCTCAGTTAATTCATCCTCTTCCAAGGGTTCATGATTAAGGTCCTGTCATTTAATATGAGTGCCTAACCTAGTCCTGATCACACTGTACAAAACTTTATCGTAGTTGTCTCCCTTCGTTCAGTTAAGTGGTTTATGCGTCTAAAAGATTGAACACTATAACTATAAGGGCATTGAAAATTTAACATCTGGGACACGAAACTGACTTATTTTGTTTTAAAAAAAAAAACATATTCAATAAACATTTCGACATAATAACAACATTATTTCAATTTTTTTTTTCTAAAATGAAAATTAATTACCCTATTTTCATCAATTTGTGTTAGTGATTCCCTATGACCAACACGTTTTAATGGTTTTGATTCGCGTGATTGTTAGACCGGGCGAAAAGTGAGACATGAGACAGGTTTTGTAAGATAAACAGTCTGTGTAATGTAGTTAAACAGTCGCCATCTTGGACCACATATGGATTCAGTGTCTTCTAGAAATATTTCAAAATAAATTCAGAATTAGATAGAGTGAAAAATATACCGTCAGTGATGCTAGAAGACGGCCCAAAATGGAACGAGATGAATGTCAAAACTATGGATAGGGATGCGGGATGGATACTATAGCCCAATTATTTTTAAAAAGTCTATTTTCAGTATGGAATAAATTTAAAAGAAAACACGGCATGTAGCTGCCAAGACAACCGCTAGTATACCACTTGTAACTGCAAAGGATTGTACATATATTAGAAAAAAAGTACAATATAGTACCGTTATTCAAAAGTCACAAAAATGTCACACCATTGAATAGCATTTTTAACACAAATTTAGAGTTAGATAAAACAGAGAGAAAAATAACCAAACTGCATCGTCCTTCTAGCTTTCGTCACGGTGGTGATATAGGCCTAAATTAAGAAAAAAAGATCCCGATTTCTCTGACCCTCCTGTAGTGATGTATAACTTTTAAGAAACTTTCTTCTGTTCAAGCCTATGTATTTATTATGTAAAGTAATATATTGTGTATAAAATTCTCATACCGTAATTAAAAATACACCGTTAGTTTGCCTGCTGGTTCCGCTATCTTACACATTGTTCTCATTTGAGAACGTGACATAACCTACTTCGATTGACCAAAGTTTACATTGCGGGTGTCATCGATTAAGAAGAATACGCTCACTCTCCGTTTTTTCATTTCATCATTTCGAATTAATAAGCAGCAAAGCGTGACGTCATGAAGTAAATAATGCATCGTTGTGTAGTATTATTACTGTACTGATCGTAATCTCCCTGTCGTGTAAATTCCCTTCTCTGTATTGTACTATCCCTGCCGTGTAAATTCCCTTTACTGTATTGTACTGTCCCTATCATGTAAATTCCCTTTACTGTATTGTACTATCCCTGCCGTGTAAATTCCCTTCACGGTATTGTACTGTCCATATCGTGTAAATTCCCTTCACTGTATTGTACTGTCCCTGTCGTGTAAATTCCCTTCACGGTATTGTACTGTCCCTGCCGTGTAAATTCCCTTCACGGTATTGTACTGTCCCTGTCGTGTAAATTCCCCCTCACTGTATTGTACTGTTCCTGTCGTGTAAATTCCCCCTCACTGTATTGTACTGTCCCTGTCGTGCAAATTCCCTTTACTGTATTGTACTGTCCCTGCCGTGTAAATTCCCCTCACGGTATTGTACTGTCCCTATCGTGTAAATTCCCTTCACTGTATTGTACTGTCCCTATTGTGTAAATTCCCCCTCACTGTATTGTACTGTCCCTGTCGTGTAAATTCCCTTTACTGTATTGTACTGTCCCTATCGTGTAAATTCCCCCTCACTGTATTGTACTGTTCCTGTAGTGTAAATTCCCTTCACTGTATTGTACTATCCCTGCCGTGTAAATTCCCTTCACGGTATTGTACTGTCCCTATCGTGTAAATTCCCTTCACTGTATTGTACTGTCCCTGTCGTGTAAATTCCCTTCACGGTATTGTACTGTCCCTGCCGTGTAAATTCCCCTCACGGTATTGTACTGTCCCTATCGTGTAAATTCCCTTCACTGTATTGTACTGTCCCTATCGTGTAAATTCCCCCTCACTGTATTGTACTGTCCCTGTCGTGTAAATTCCCTTTACTGTATTGTACTGTCCCTATCGTGTAAATTCCCCCTCACTGTATTGTACTGTTCCTGTAGTGTAAATTCCCTTCACTGTATTGTACTGTCCCTGTCGTGTAATTTCCCTTCACTGTATTGTACTGTCCCTGTCGTGTAAATTCCCCCTCACTGTATTGTACTGTTCCTGTAGTGTAAATTCCCTTCACTGTATTGTACTGTTCCTGTCGTGTAAATTCCCCCTCACTGTATTGTACTGTCCCTGTCGTGTCCCTGCCGTGTAAATTCCCCTCACGGTATTTTACTGTCCCTGCCGTGTAAATTCCCTTTACTGTATTGTACTGTCCCTATCGTGTAAATTCCCCTCACTGTATTGTACTGTCCCTGTCGTGTAAATTCCCCACACTGTATTGTACTGTCCCTATCGTGTAAATTCCATTTACTGTATTGTACTATCCCTGTCGTGTAAATTCCCTTTACTGTATTGTACTGTCCCTATCGTGTAAATTTCCTTCACGGTATTGTACTGTCCCTGTCGTGTACATTCCCCCTCACTGTATTGTACTGTCCCTGTCGTGTAAATTCCCTTCACTGTATTGTACTGTCCCTGTCGTGTAAATTCCCCCTCACTGTATTGTACTGTTCCTGTAGTGTAAATTCCCTTCACTGTATTGTACTGTCCCTGTCGTGTAATTTCCCTTTACTGTATTGTACTGTCCCTGTCGTGTAAATTCCCTTCACTGTATTGTACTGTCCCTGTCGTGTAAATTCC